CCCATCCGCGGTAATTTGTGGACAGTCCGGCCCCAGTGTGACTGAGGCTTAACTACGCAGACACGCGAGAAATCATTAACTCGAGCTAAGTGGTAGTTATCAGTAGACTGCATGGGTGGCGACACATGCAATGTTGACATCCGGGTTACTTGCCTTCCACGACTTTTCAAGATTCACAGATTTGCATATCTAACTTTTGGCGATGTTTTCAATAATATACGGATCACGGCAGAAAGAAATAACTGGGAAAAAGTTACTCGTTACATGCGTATACTTGCATACCGCAGTAAACCCCATCTACCACTAGCTGCCGTTAGATTAACTCAGGTTAAGACAAACTCTGTGTGGACGATGCGTTTTTCTGAACTCGGGTTAAGTGTTACTTGCCATTTTTTTACATTAAAAGTAAGAACTAAGAGGACTAAACAAATCGTCAAATTCTTACCTGATAAGAGTGTTTCTCAACTAGTTAAAAATCCAAAAAAACCTGGACCATTTAAATTAATGTTCTCAACATTAATTGCTTGCTATGGGTTACGAGTGTATAATTTAATTAACAATTTTTATAATTTTTTTTTTATAACAATAATTACAATTTAACCATAAAATGTGAACAGAATTACCTATAGTTTGTGAAAAAGTGGAAATATTTTTTTTATTTTTTACTAGTTTCGGTGACGTAATCACTTTAACTCGGGTTAAGGTGACTCCGTGTAGATGAGGCTTTAGCTCTTGCATATGTGCAGTAATGAAAGTATCGCATACCTCCTTTTGAAATTGTCGAATCATAACATGAATACCGGGGAAAATACCAGTTGAGATGTGTGCCATGTGTGAGAGTACACTTGCAGCATGTAACAAGTTAGGTCAAATGGGATAATAAGAATCTTTGAATTATGCAATTTTTGGGTTTTTTAACGCTACACAGGTTTTTCCGTAAAATAGGGTCAGGCTCCTATAATGTGAACGTCATAGAGCCCCTGGCTTAATACCGCTGGCATTCGCCACCTTTGCAAAATGCGATAAATAAATGCCAGTGGCGATTTTATTACACTAAGTGGCGAATACAATTGGCGAATTATTTAACTGCTTACTAAATTATGGTTGAACGATGAAATCGTCCGATTGCAGTGTCGTGTCGTATAATATTTGTGTACACTTGTGTTCCCATATCTATCACCTGCTTATGCATTGCTTAGCACATACGATAATAGGAGCAGTGGCTATAGTATTTTATTGGCTAAAAATAACTTTGGTGGCTTAGTCTTGGCTCAAACTTTAAAACATCCAAAGGGAGCCCTGAATGGAGCCTGGCCAGGCTAGGGTGTTGGCTGCGCCCTACCGTCTTGTGTTGGCGTCAGAATTGAAATGTTGATGGCGCGTTGAATTTTAACGGCCTCCATTTAAAAAAAATGTACGGGTTAATCCGCAAACTGTTTCAACAAACACTAATGGAATATGCCAAGATTTTTAGCTCATCTGATGCAGCTTGTAAGAATCGAATGAGCGTGTGCGTCCCCAGATTGCCGGCCGGTGCGTCCATCAAACAGTTTGGGCACAAATCTAAACGGCTCGACAGTATGGCCACAATATTCGGCGACGTGGGGGGGGGGGGTGTAATGCGAAAACCGAGTTGGGATATCGAAGCTGGGGGTCAAAGGTTCAAAGGTAAAGAGGTGTAAAAGAAGTGGAACATACCTCCTTTAACTTTAAGGTAATAGGGAGGAAATGCAGAACTTGCAGCACAAAATCTAAACGGCATCGACCTAGTCGTGCATAGTCGGTGTAATACATCATGGTAGGAAAAGCCATCAACTTCCGTGCCGGAAATTGGAGTCACAAGTCCAAAGGTCAAATCGGGAAGCAACGGCAAGATTTTAGACATTTTCTGAGGACATGATGTGACGGAGCGATGAAAACTTTTCTTGTTTCAGTGGTGACCTAACCATTTTTATGGCTTTAAATTGATACAGGACCATAAAAAATGTGGCCTTTCCACTGACAGTGCGAAGAGTAATGTCTGATAACCTTTTGACCCTGACAAAGCAGGAGGTTAAACATGGATTTGTATGACAGTTAGAAAGAATTTGACTGCCGGGTTTGCTAGTAGAATCCTATACAATGTCCTGGATGTATGAGCGCTACAATGTCACAGTGAAATTTCAAAAGCTATAATTTTGCTGAAGAATGTTTTGCTCCTTAAATCGTATATATTTCTATGGCAATTCTGTACTGTCGAATGTGTTAAATGAACTTAATTCATCGCCACTGCTCAGTCGGCCACTTGACAGTGCATGTGGTGGTGAATAGGTTATGGTGTAGTTTTGCCTGCGTTTTAATTAGTTTACAGGTGGCAGCTCTCTATTTTAAGCCCTGTAGCGCTTGCGTGGTAACATGGATGAGTGCTTAACCTATTCTGTCTTGCAAATAGTTGTTGCTATATCAACGTACGACTGGAAGTCTTCCAGCCTTCCATTCTTTAATCTTAAGCATATTCAAACGTACGCGCCATCTCGTGGCAAACTTTCCATAACGATCAGCCAACGAACATTTCGTTTCGAAGAAGCGTTCCTGATACCATCCCAGTGTTCGAACCATAAGGGCTATCCGTTTGTCCGTACTTGTCGCATTTCGCACGGAAGGACAAGTAGATGCCTGTCAGCGTAGCTTGTCCGCGCGCCAGAGCAGCTTTCAGAGCAATTTTTCATAAACTTTTCNATCTCCGGGGCCCCTAATTGACCTAACGCTACCAAACTTGGTATACTTACACATCTTGGGGAGAAGGTGTGTCACATACCAAAACCAGGTATCTCCGGGGCCCCTAATTGACCTAACGCTACCAAACTTGGTATACTTACACATCTTGGGGAGAAGGTGTGTCACATACCAAAACCAGGTATCTCCGGGGCCCCTAATTGACCTAACGCTACCAAACTTGGTATACTTACACATCTTGGGGAGAAGGTGTGTCGCATACCAAAACCAGGTCACTGCGACCTTTATTTGAGTTTGACCTTGATCATGATTCCCTTCCGTTCTATAACTCGGCCCCTAATTGACCTAGCGCGAGCAAACTTTGTATACTTGCACATCTTTGGGAGAAGGTGTGTCGCATACCAAAACCAGGTCACTGCGACCTTTATTTGACCTTGACATTGACATTGATCATGTTTCTTTTCCACTTTATAACTCGGCCCCTAATTGACCTAGCGCAACCAGACTTGGTATACTTACACATCCGAGGCAGATGAGCTGTGTAACAAACCTCTGTCTTTGTGACTTATTTCACTTTACCTACCTTGTACGTCCTTACGGAGATATTTCATTCATACTAGATTGCGGGGGATACGTGTAGTTGGCGACAACTGCCATTTCTAGTTTTATAACATCCCTAAACGAAATTCAAGGCCATATTTCCCCCCAAACCCCCATCAGTGCCAGCGGGGCTCCAATAGAACATAGGTGTCACGGTGCCCAACGACAGGTCGATTATCACCATAATACTTGTAAGAAACATCAGCTTGCATAGGTGTGCAGTTGATGTCGGTGTGCTCATGTGGATTAATGAACTAAAATTCGGAGGAGATGGTCAAAATCATTGCAAATCTCCATCGTATTGATATAGACAACCGTGATTACAGTAAGAATGTCTAAAGCTGAAGGAAGTTGGTGATTATTGATGTTGATCTTTTTTCCCCGCAGGAAGTCAAACGACAGATGGGAGAACCTGCGCGGGGGAAGAAACTGCTTAGCTTCCCACCCGTGTGATGGAGTCTTCCCACTTAGATGTACCGCCTGCAGAAGAAGAGAAATCGCACGTGTGTGATACGTGTGGATACAGATTCGCACTAGAGAAGCATCTGCAGACCCACATGCTCATTCACACAGGAGAGAAACCCTATGCATGTGATGTTTGCTCACATGCCAGCACTACTTCTGCTAATCTCAAGAGTCACATGCGCACACATGGAGAGAAACCTCATGTGTGTGATATTTGTTTATATTCATGTTCTGACTTGAGTCGTCTGAAGGTGCACTTTCGAACTCACTCGGGTGAGAAACCCTATGCATGCGACACATGTGACTACAGGTGCACTCAACTATACCATCTTAAGTCACACAAGCGAACTCACACAGAAGAGAAACCCTACGTGTGTGACATTTGTTCATATTCATATTCTCACTTGAGTCATCTGAAGGTGCACTTTCGAACTCACTCTGGCGAAAAGCCTTATGCATGCGACATATGTGAGTACAAATGTACATCATCCTCTGCTCTCCAGAAACACAAGCTCACTCACACAGGAGAGGAACCATACACATGTGATACAGGAGGGAAACCCTACGTGTGTGACATTTGTTCATATTTATGTTCTACATTACGTTGCTTGAAGAAGCACTTTCGAACTCACTCGGGCGAAAAGCCCTATGCATGCGACACATGTGAGTACAAATGTACATCATCCTCTACTCTCCAGAAACACAAACGCATTCATACAGGAGAGAAACCCTACGTGTGTGACATTTGTTCATATTTATGTTCTACATTACGTTGCTTGAAGAAGCACTTTCGAACTCACTCGGGCGAAAAGCCCTATGCATGCGACACATGTGAGTACAAATGTACATCACCCTCTCTTCTCCAGAGACACAAGCGAACTCACACAGGAGAGAAACC